GCGCAGCTGCAGGGCCCAGCTGGGGAGAAGGACAGAGCCACAGGCAACTCGTCCAGGGGGCAGCAGAAGGGCCGGCTCCCTGCTGTTGTACACACTCCCAGGGAGGGAGGCATGGTGGGGGGGGGCACTTGCCCCCCAGATTTGTGCTTGGGGCAAGAGAGGATGCAAGCTGCCTGCTGTGAGCTCAGGGCTCCCCACCCTGCTGCCTTCCCCCCAGGGGCCTCTGTGACAGGGCGGGGAGGCTTGGTGCCACTGCTGGGAGCCCCACGCCAGCCACAACACCATAACGAGGCACCCCCTGCCCACCTGGCAGCAGCAGGGGGCACCACTCCACACTGTCACTATCACCATGGGGGCGGGGGGTGCCTTGCCATGGCAGCATGGCTGGCATTGTGCTCCCAACAGCAGTGCCAAGCCTCCCCACCTGCTGGTGCCGGGTCCCACCACTGGGCAGCCAAAGCCCCAGGGGAAGGGCAACCAGGGAGGGAGCCCTGAGCCTGCAGCGGGCAGCCCATGTCCCTACCACAGACTCCACTCTGGCTATGCCACCCACTCAGGGGGTGTTGGGGAGCCAGGCTCTGCACTCTGCTCCAGTCGCAGCAACTGCCACCTCCCACAGGCAGCAGCTGGGCCTTGGGCACTGGTCGGGGGGGGGAGGGGGCAGGGGCAAGGCAGGGGGTTGGGAGAGGCACAGGGCTGTGGGCCCTTGCCCTGGTGCAATATCCCTGGTAGCTGGGGGCCCCCTCAGCTGTGGAGTGCAGCCCATATAACACATTGAGAGCTGCAGGTGTGGCCCACTATGGCAAATAGGTTGAGAACCACTGACTTAGGACAAGACATACAGAATAAAATGTTTCATTTAAACCCTCCTATTAAATGGCAGGACAATTTGGGTAGGCAGAGTGCAGTCACCGGCATAAGAATTTGGCCAGAATAGTAGTCTAAATATTCCTAACCTTATAAAACAAAAATTATATTACTTTATTTTCAAATTCCTCTTTAAATGTATGAAGAGTACACTTTTAATTCTGATGGGAAATAATAAACTCTTTATACTTACAGTTTATACGTTATAAGCTTATAGTTGGATATACATAACACACGCATGCTTTGTTAGCATGTTTTAATGTCTTCTTTTTCCCTTCGTCTCTGACAGTCTCTACTTTTCAGTATCTTTCTCTTCTCTGGGAAGGTTCCTAACTAGTAATAACTAATAAATAATGGAAGGCCAGTTTACAGGAGAGTTTTCTAGGGAAGGTGTGCTGGAAAGAGGGGCAGGAAGAAAGAGGTGGCAAATTAAGAGACCTGGAGAAATGGCTGGAGGACATCACAGTACCAGGGCCATAGCCAGCTCTTCCTCTGCTTGTGCTTGAGAGGTAGTCTGTCCAGGCAGGACCACTCAACAGAAAGGCTTCCACCCAGGTCCTATTTGGTGCTATGGAGACTGCAGCTTGCAGGTTCTTTCCAGTAATAGCCATGTGGGGAAGTGCCTGCGTCGTGAGTGATGCCTCCTGGTGGTGTCCCTCAGGGAGCAGGCAAGAGAGCTCCAGGAGGAGGTGGCAGTGCTCCAAAGCATCCTCCGCCATGAGGATATCGTCGATTCAGTGCTGAAGGACACCTCTAGGACTGCAGAGGAAGGACTACCAGAGGTAGCGCTAGAGAAGGAAGAAGACGGACTCCCAGGAAAGTGGAAGCTGGAAGCTTGTGACAGGGGCTCAGATGTTTTCCTCCATCTTTCCAGTCAAGAGGAAGGGCCCAGACAGGAGCAGATGCATCCTGCAGATCAATGCATGGCTGCTCAGGTGGTGTCGCCAACAGGACTTTGGCTTCTTTGACAACAGGACGTTGTGCCAAGAAGGATTGCTAGAAAGGAATGGAACCCACCTGATGGAGAGAGGAAAGAGTATCTTCACAAACAGGCTCATTTACCTAGTGAGGAGAACTTTAAATTAGGTTTACCAGGGAATGAAGAACAAAGTCCTGAGGTAAGCGGGGAAGTGTATGACTTGGAGGAAACATAATCAGAAAAGGGCAGTAGGGGATGCCTTCTCATTCTTCCTGAGAAAATAAGGCCATTAGCTAGTTACCTCAGGTGTCTGTACGTGAATGGACGGAGCCTGGGAAACAAGCATGAAGAATTGGATATCCTCACACAGTCACAAAACTATGGCATGATTGGAATAACAGAGACCTGGTGGGATAGCTCACATGACTGAACCACTATCATGGATGGGTATAAATTGTTCAGAAGGGACAGGAAAAGGAAAAGAGAAGGAAGAGTTGTGCTTTATCTAAAAGAATTATATGATTGCTCCAGTATGAAACTGGATATAGGCCTGTTGAAAGCTCTGGGTTAGGGTCAGAGGGGAGAGCAACAAGTGTGTCATAGTAGGTGTCTGCTATAGACCACCAGACCAAGAAGATGAGGCTGTTCTTCCAACAGCTAGCGGCAGTAGGCCAAACACAGGCCTTGTTTCTAATGGGGGACTTCAGTCACCCTGACATCTGCTAGGAGGGCATTACAGCAGTGCACAGGCAATCCAGGAGGTTTTTTGGAGAGTGGAAAGTGCAATTTTCTGATGCAAGTGTTGGAGAGGTCAATTAGAGGCTTTGCTTTTCTTGATCTGCTGCTCACAAACAGGGAAGAATTAGCGGGGAATGTTAGAAGTGGATGTTAACTTGGGTAGCAGTGACTATGACATGGTTGAGTTCAGGATCCTGAGGAAAGGAAGAAGGAGAGCAGCAAAGTAAGGATCCTGGGAATCCAGTCTGAGGGAGAAAGGAGTCCAGGAGTCCTGGTTGTATTTTAAAGAAATCTTACTGAGGGCTCAGAAACGAACCATCCCAGTGCTCAGGAAGACTAGCAACTGTGGCAGTAGACCAGCTTGGCTTAGCAAGCAACTTTCAGTGAGCTAAAACACAAAAAGAAAGCTTACAAGTGAAAACTTAGACAAACAATTAGGGAAGAGTAGAAGAGTATTGCTTGGGCATGCAGGGATGAAATCAGGAAAGTCAAAGCACAATTGGAGTTGCAGTTAGCAAGGAACTTGAAAGGTAACGAGAAAAGCTTCTACAAGTATGTGAGCAACAAGGGGAAGATCAAGGAAAGTGTGGGTCCCTTACTGATGGGGAAGGCAATCTATTGACAGACAATGTAAAAAAGACTGAAGTTCTCAATTCCTTTTTTACCTCAGTCTTAACAGGCATGCTCAGTTCCCAGACTACTGCACTTGGCATCACAGTTTTGGGAAGAGCTGAGCAGCCAACAGTAGCAAAAGAACAGTTTAGAGAGTATTTAGGAAAGCTGGACAGGTATAAGTCTATGGGGCTGGATGCAGTGCACCTGAAGGTGCTGAGGGAGTCAACCAATGTGATTGCAGAGCCACAAGCTATTATCTTTGAAAACTTGTGGCAGTCAGGAGAGGTCTTGCACAATTGGAAAAGGGCAAACTAAAGACCTTAACACAATCCCTGGAAAAATCATGGAGCAGGTCCTCAAGGAATCCATTTCTAAGCATTGAAGAAGCAGGTGATTAGGAACAGTCAGCATGGATTCACCAGAGGCAAGTCATGCCTGACCAACCTGAGTGCCTTCTATGATCAAATGGCTGGTTCTGTGGATGTGGGGAGACCAGTGGATGTGGTATACCTTGATTTTAGCAAGTCTTTTGATACAGTCTCCCACAGCATTCTTGTAGGCAAGCTAAGGAAGTACATGGTGGATGAATGGATTGTCAGGTAGATAGAAAACTGTTCAGAGGGTAGTAATCAATGTCTTGATGTCTAGTTGGCAGCCAGTATCAAGTGGAGTGCCCCAGCAAGTTTACAGACGATAAGAGTAGTAGATATTCTAGAAGGTAGGGCTAGGATTCAGAGAGACCTAGACAAATTGGAAGATTGGACCAAAAGAAATGTCATGAGGTTCAATAAGGACAAGTACAAAGTCCTGCACTTAGGATGGAACAATTCCATGTGGCTGAGGTAAAGGCTGGGGGCTGACTGGCTAAGCAGCAGTTCTGCAGAAAATTACCTGGGGGTTACAGTGAACAATAAGCTGAATATGAGCCAATAGTGTGCCCTTGTTGCCAAGAAGGCTAACAACATACTGGGCTGCATTAGTAGGAATGTTGCCAACACATTGAAGGAAGTGATTATTCCCTTCTGTTTGGTACTGGTGAGGCCACATGTAGAGTACCATATCCAGTTTTGAGCCCCCCAATACAGAAAGGGTGTAGACAAATTGGAGAGAGTCCAGCAGAGAGCAAGAAAAATGGTTAGGGGGCTGGGGCACATGACTTATAAGAAGACGCTGAAAGAACTGGGTTTATTTTGTCTGGAGAAAAGACTGGGGACCGGGATTTAATAGCAGCCTTCAACTAACTGAAGGGTGGTTCCAAAAAGGATGGAGCTAGACTGTTTTCAGTGGTAGCAGATGACAAAACAAGGAGCAATGGTTTCAAATTGCAGCCAGGGAAGTTTAGGTTAGATATTAGGAAAAACTTTATCACTAAGATGGTAGTAAATCACTGAAACAGTTTACCCAGAGAGGTTGTGGAATCTCCACCCTTGGAGATTTTTAAGAGCTGGCTAAACAAAGCCTTGGCTGGGATGATCTAGTTTGGGGTAGTCCTACTTTGAGCAGGGGACTGGACTAGATGACCTCCTGAGGTCCTTTCCAACCTTAATTTTCTATGAATCTATGATTCTGTGTAGGAGTGTGCCACCTATATGCTATAGAATCTGAACATTGGCATACATGACCTCTTCTCAACAATTTATACATTTCTAAACTGGATTTGCACCTACATATGCCAAGGATAATATAGCTTATTTTGGACCTAAGAAGCCACATTTATCCCAAACACTGTTTTGTTGCACACTGGGACTTAATAGGAACTAATAGGGAAAAGTTGGGATCTCCTGCACAGCCCAAGAAAAGGTCTTACATCAGAACTGAAGGTCTCACATCAGAAATTTCCCCAGCTTTCAGGGTTTATACTAGGGCTGCCCGATTCGGTGGCTGAATCTCTGAATTGAATCAGGAGACCCTTTAATCTCTCTGAATCAAATTGGAACTCTCCAAATTGATTTGGAGAGATTCAGAAAGATTCGATGATTAGTGTGTGGGCCGGGAGCGGTCCGAGGCCTTTGGGAGTTTTTTCTCGCGCGGCGGGCTGTGGCCAGCAGCCCGGACATACCGGGTCGGGGAAGACAGGCGGCACGCTAGAATTAGGCACGGACGCTTAGTGGTTGATTTAAGATTATTTTACTTACACCGAAGATGGTCGCGGTGCAGGCAGGAAAACTTGCTTGAGTTGCGGTTACAAAACAAAACAAAAAACTCGAACCTGCAGAACATGAGGGTACATCGCAATGGGGTTTCGGCGACGGGAGATGAACAAAAACCTTGAGAGTACATCGCAATGGGGGTTTCGGTGACGGGAAGAAAAAAAAACTGCAGGACTCGAACCCCAGGTAGAGCTCTGGATTCACTCACACGAAGTTTGCTAGGCTCCGTGGAACTTGCGCGCAGGGAAGGGTACGTCGAGGGATCAGGCGGCGACGGGGAGAGGCGAGAGGTTGATCAGACCCCTATAGCCTTCTTGAGATACACGCTGGGTCCGATAGGCTCCACAGCGCTTAGAGATCTTCACGAGACGTGAAGTTCTCCTCCTCCTGATAGTCGTGGAGTCCTCCAACTTGGGCGGAAACCACTCAAGCCTCTTATACAGCTAGCAAGCCAATCGCTAGCTGCCACGTAGGAATAATTTAGAACTGACCAATAGTGGGGCACGAATCTGAATACAAATGGTGGGAACTCCTTGCAACGTGCATTTCCTTTCTGCAGCTCAGAAATGCACCCTGCAAAGAAAGCTAAGAGTGGCGGGAAATAATTTAGCAGTGCCAAAGCACACACAAACAAAAATCACACCCTTGGGTTGTGACAATTAGGACATAGACAAAGCTTTAAATGTTTTTTCCACGTACCTCAAGGTACCAGGCAGCTCGTGAATGCTGTGATGGTGGGGCAATGAAGTGCAACAGAGGAGTGCAGGGGGGTCCCCAGCATGCTCGGCAGCAGGCCCAGAAGTGGACCAGAAGCACATGCGGTCCACTTCCGGGTCCACTGGGGAGCGTGGCCCCCCATGCCCTTCTGGCTTGGTGACTAGTGCCTCCTGGGTCTGGGGGGGCACCTGGGGTCCCCCTGCGCACTCGGCAGTGGACCGGAAGTACTTCCAGTCCACTTCTGGGTTCACCTCCAAGCATGCGGGGGGACCCTGTGCTCCTGTGGGATGCTCCATTCTCCCCACCATTGCAGCATTCACAAGTCGCGCCTGGTACCTCGAGGTATGTAAAAAAAAACAAAAAAAACCCCAAACGTTTAAAGCTGTGTCTATGTCCGAATTGCTAATTCTCGAAATCAGCATCGAATCTTCAGATTCAGATCCAGCCAAATTGAATCGGGAACGGTGATCCAAATCAACTAATTGAATCACTGTCCATGATTCAGGCCGAATCTGAATCAGATACGGCCTGTTTCGCACACTCCTAGTTTGTACCTCATTGCCACTCACAAGCACTCTCGTGCCCCCCACATACACTTCACCTGCCAATTTCTGCTGATTCCCCCCACTGCTGCCAGTTCCCTTGCCACCACTTTCTCCCACCGCTACCAGTTTTTCGCCACTTCTCTCAGTTATTGTGAAATCCCCCTGTGTCCTCTGAGAGGAACATGCTCTATACTTTGGGAAATGCTGCCATAGACTTAGGAGAAAGTGAAGTAAATTGCAGAATATATCGTCTGCTTATATGTAATTATTTGCATGGACTACTTAATTATAGTGTAGTCTTCTTGGCAGTTCTGAGTGGGAGGGTAGGATTTAAAATTATAACTTTCTGGGCTGGATATTACTGGTTGTGGAGAACATTTGCAGTCACTTGCATTATCAATAGCATAGAAGTTTCCTCTACTTATTCTTCTATTTCATGTCTCAGATTCTAGCCTGCAGATTCCCTTGAGAGCATGACCTTGTCAGAGATTTTTTTCTGAATCTGAAACAATCTAGTGTATTATTTCCAGATTTCATCCTAATTAAAATAAAACATGGTCCACGTTATGTGGTGTCATCATGCATACCTGTAAGTGAAATATTTTAAGCTGTCATTGAAGACTGAACAACTTGTGCAGTACCTCTGGTATTGTTTAGATTTTGTATTGATTTTTTTTTTATATTCAGGACTGAAATTTGTGTTTTTCTTATCAATATTGCTATGCAATTTAGGGACTTTTTCTGTAGCAAAAACATCATTTGTACAGCTGTTCTCTCTGCAGACATCAAACTAAGACTGCTGTCTGCTGATTATATCATTTTTAATATAGATAGCATTCACTTTGGCATTTGAGACAATCTTTAGCAAATATGTGTAGTGACCTGTGAGTTAACCAGAATAGTGTTAAAATGTTAACACTATTCTGTTCTAATAGTGTTAAATGTTAATGTTATTCCTCATAGATACTGTTTGTTTGTTTTTTAAAATCAACATCCTTCTTAGGTAACTTTCATAGTGGATACAGACTCCTGTAGTCCTTCCTTTTTCATGTCCTTGTGACAAGGTATGGAGCAGAATTTACAGATTTCATTAGTATCTGACAGGCTGTGGCGCCATGATCGCTTCTGCTATGGCCTCAAACTTACAACCTTTTGGGTTGTCAGCTATGCACCTTAGTGCCCATGCCACCCCAACCCATGGCTGCTGTAATAAAACTGCATGTATAATTTTTAGTTTAAGAGTTAAGAAGTTATTTTCTATGTGGTATGACGGTATTAAATTTAGATACCTGGAATCACCAAAGTGGATGCCAGTACACAGTGGTAAAATTTGCTGCTTCCTAAATAGGTTGCTTCAATATTATTCTATTATGGTATCTGTGCATAATTCATTGTAAAAAACATGATAGCTGTGGAGAAGACAAGGGTGGGATCTCATGCTCAGCTCCCACAATGAGAGTCTTTCTATTGCTTTTGCATAGAGTTGGATCCAGTCCTAACAACTGTCATATTTCGGCTCCAAGGAAGTAACTTGTGATAGGGTATTAAGCTACATCTCAGGTAATCTACACCTGCTGGTTTTGGTACCACTTTAACTGTATCTTTAAAAAACAGATATTTAACATAGTGTGGACACAATTGTATAAAAGTGCTCATATTTAAAATCAGCAATAAACAAATAGCTTACTTTACACTATACTTTTATATTAGTATCACTGCTTTCACACTATCAGTTACACTACTAGAACTTTATTTGCTTTATAAACAGATATAGATAAAAGCATTACAAAACCTGTCTGTAGATAAGACCTTCACTGAATGGTATATCAGAATTTGTGTAACTTAGGCCCCATCTAATGGGGCTGGTCTTAAGGTAATTGCACAATTAACAATGTGCGTGTAGAGGGCAGGCTTACATATTTGTTCAAGACTTTCCCTTTGTTCTGAGGTTTCTTCGTTTTCTTCATGAAGGATAAAGATAGCCTTTAAAACAAACTAGTCAGTCATAGGAGAGAATTTCCAAGCACAACTTTACCTTGCCTTTGTGTTAAAGCAAGGTTACCCAGGATGTTTAAAATGCATTGCTAACAAGGTCAAAACAAACAAGTGTACTCTTTTTAAATACATGAAGCAATAACTGAACTAATAAAGCTGTTTGTAATTTTAGCACAGCTTTCAAAGCATATGGTTTACAACCCAGTCCCTAAAACAATAGTATCTGAGACTGCTAAAGGTGCGGCTTTATGAACACAGGTAATTACGTGACTTTTCCAAGTTTAATCAAAGCAGCTACTGCTTTTCTGAGTTGTCTCAAAGTCTAGACTTTGCCATTTTGGGTTGAAACATTATCAACAAACAAGTTTACTCATCCTGTTGTTAGCATAAGATGTGCTTTTTCACCTGATTTGGTCTTAACAACTTGTCCTGTTTCTTGCTTCAGATTAAAGGAGATCAAGATGAGTGAATATGATGCATCTACTTACGAAAGGTTCTCTGGAGCGGTCCGACGGCAAGTTCAGTCACTCCGAATCATTCTAGATAATCTGCAGGTAATGCTTTATTTATTGTCAAAGGGAAGCTATCATATCACTAGATTAGGTCCTAAATGTTACCAGCCGTTCTTTATCATTTTACAGCTGTTGGATGGAGAATATCTTTGGAAGTCAATAGAACAAATCAAGTTCTTATGCATACTTAGGTTAAACACAGGCATGCTTCACTGCTTCAAAAGAAGCATTAAAGCAGCCTTATATTCTAGTCAACTCAAAAGATGCTTGTTGCAATATTCCCACACAGCTGCCCCTAGATCTTATTTATTCAGGAGCATTATTTAATCCTATAGGAGAGAGTACCTTAGGGTATCAGTGGGATTGCATGGATCCCGGTCCTTGTTCCCGGCCTCTGTTTTACAGTGCCTCCTTGGCTCAAAAAGGATGATGTTTCGGACATTGGGAGGGTATCTCTCAATCACTCATATTCACAGTTTTGCAGGTATGTGACTGTGTAGCATGATGCTCAAATATGGTCAGGTTTATATTTTTTAAAACATGGATAGAATTAAAAATAAAAATAACCATTCTCTCTAACTTCTCCACTAGTGTTTGAACAATCTCCTTGTGTTCTAGTTCCTTGCTTTTCATTTTTTTTGCTGCTGGATTAGGAAAGGAGACTTTTACATAAGATAAGAAGGGGAGGCCTGGATGATAGAGTCCAATCATATTTTGTCATAAGTAACCACATCATTTGATCTCATTCATAAATGTATCCATTCACATAGGCCTAAGATACAAAGCTGTGACTTGGGGTCCCCCTACACATTATACTTATGCCACAATAACTATGTTAATTGTGGCATAAATGGCAAAGGTACTACACATGTACCCATTTAAGGCGCCAAAAAAATGGCAAGCCAGCCATAAAACTGTTCCACACACAATGTAGAGCATTTTTATGGCTGGTTTATATGGTGCCTTAAATTGAATGTGTGGCATGTTTGGGGCTCCCCCAGGGCTGGGGTCAACAAAAAAAAAAAGCAAACCTTTTTAACAAATTCTTTGCCTCCATTTTTCTGAGCAGGGACCAGGGCTTCTCCCCCATCAGGATTCAGGACGGACTCAGGAGTGATTCCGCCAGGCCTAGGGTCAGGGAGGACCAAGTTAGGGAACTTCTTCAGGGGCTGGACATGTTCAAATCAGCAGGTCCAGATGCTCTCCACCCTAGGATGCTGAGGGAATTGGCAGGGGTCATCGTGGGGCACTCGTGGTGCTCTGGCCAGGTGCCAGAAGACTGGAAGAAAGCCAATGTGGTCCCCATTTTCAAAAAATGGAGGAGGGAGGACCCAGGCAACTATAGGCCTGTTAGTCTTACTTTGGTCCTGGGGAAGCTCTTTGAGAAAATTATCCAGGAGCACATCTGTGAGGGACCAGCAGGGGGAGGATGCACAAGGGCAACCAGCATGGGTTCATTAGAGGCAGGTCCTGTCAGACCAACCTGATAGCCTTCTACGATCAGGTCACAAAATCATTGGACGCAGGTGTCATGCTGCATGTAGTCTTTCTGGACTTCAGGAAGGCCTTTGACACTGTCTCCCATCTGTTCTCATTAAAAAGCTAGGTGACTGTGGCATCGATGCCTACACAGTCAGATGTATCACAAATTGGCTAGGGGGCAGCAGGGCAGGCCCTATGAGGAGAGGCTACGGTACCTGTTTAGCCTTCACAAGAGAAGGCTGAGAGGGGATCTAGTGGCCATCTATAAACTTACCAGGGGGGACCAGAGGGGATTGCGTGAGACCCTGTTCCCCTGAGCACCTCCGAGAGTAACAAGCAATAACAGCCACAAGTTGATTGAGAGTAGGTTCAGGCTAGACATCAGGAGGCACTACTTCACAGTCAGGGTGCCCAGGATCTGGAACCACCTTCCAAGGGAAGTGGTGTTGGTTCCTACCTTAGGGGTCTTTAAAAGGAGGCTTGATAAGTACTTAGCTGGGGTCATATGAGCTTAAACTTAGTAGGGGTCATATGAGCCCAGGGCAGCGGGTCGGACTTGATGATCTGCTCAGGTCCCCTCCGACCCTACATCTATGAACAATCAGCTGATTGTCGGCCCCAAGACCATACCAGGTCATGCTGAGCTGTAGGCAACTTGCTTTTAACTTGCTGGTGCAGGGGGAGCCCAGGATCATATGGCAAGCAGAAAGGGCATGATTGGGATCTGATTCCTGATCCCAAAATTGTGCCTCTTGCCATGCATGTGTGGCATGACAAGAACTGCAATTGTTGGGATCAAGGCTCAGATTCCATGGCACTTTTAAATGAATATGTGCCACAGGCCTTGGTACCACATTTAATTGTTTTTAAATCTGAACTGCTGGGTTGGGCCTTTTGCTTTTTAAGGAGGAGATCTAAATCCTCGCTTCCCCAAATTTTGGTAATTATTCCTATCTCACGCAGGTATTCCGTCAGAAGTTCTCTCAGCATCTTAACTGAATCTTCTACTCAAAATTTTTTTCTTAGTCTCTTTTACTTGTGTGTCTTTAGTGTGGAAATTCCTGCATTCAGAAATCAAATTAAACACAGTTTTAACATAATGGAGCACCATGTTTTAAATAAAGGAAGCATATCCTGTTACTTGATGCTAAAAAAGGTTACCTTTAAGATTAAGGAAAAGTGCTGTCTGCCCCTCTGTTTCCTGAGACTGTGCTCTCTTCCTGACAAGTATGTAATATAACAGGACTGTCTGACCAAGGAGATGGGGTAAGGAATGCATTTTATGCAGCACATAATATAAAAATAAACTAACTTAACTTAAAAAAAAATCTCTTAAGGTAGACCACAAAAACTTCAGCAATATTGAGATCAAAATGATAGCATCATAAATCTCTTTTACTCAGGCTACCTTTTCAAGTAGTCATTTTTATATTGGATAGACTCTTAACACACAGATCAAATCAGGCTTTTATAAATATTTAACATATAATTCCTAGAAAAGCTATATTCATGATGGTTTGAATTATTTAGTTTACAAGTGCTTGATCTTACTTGGGAATTTTTCCAACTTTTGCACTGAACCAAATCATGTTTAATTTTAGCTTTTAAATAGAGGATCTTACTGAAGTTCTTCAGGGATTTACCAGACTGACCCACTTCAGTGTAAGGCCCCTGGCCCTGGCTTCACTTAGTTCTACATAGCACCAAGCACACAGTTGCAGCTCAACTAATAAACAGCAGAAATGTGGGGGTTTTTCTGTGTTATCAATCGGACATTCCTTATTCCAGAAATACTAAGTCACTGACATAATCAGTTGTGGTGTATTTCAGAAGTCAGATTTCACTTTGTAATTACGGTTTTGAAATAGTAATTTCTTAAATATCCCAGATCACCTTCTAAATAAACTCATCAATTTTAACTTAGTATTAGAAAGGTTACGTTTAAATTATACATTATGAAAACATAATAGTTTTATGTGATTTTTTTGTTTGTTTATTCAGACCCTATTTTTTTGCTCTTTTTTTTCTGTTTTGTTTGCTTTCCTGAAAGGATGGTTGTTAATTTAAGATGGCCTTTGTCCTTAGAGTACATGGCCAGGCCTCAGAAAATCTAAGTTCTGTTCCCATCTCTTTATACTTTTTTTGTAAAACAGTCTTTCTGTGCCTCATCTTTAAAAAGAAGGGAAATACCGTCCTGGCTACCAAACAGTCAAACAGTTTACTGTAATACTGGTGTTCTACCAAGAAAAGCCTCAAGTCTTGCTTGCATATTCATTTAATTCAGCAGTTTTCAAACTGTATTCAGCAGTTTTCAAACTCTGGACAGAATCCTAGAGTTCTCTTATGGGTCATTAGGGATTCCACAAAGAGACTGAGGGTAATGGCAGAGTGGGCTGGGAGGTGATGCACCAGGGTGGCCTGAGTGTGTGTCACCTCACAGGATAGAGGTAGGGACTCTGTGGTGGGACAAGTGATATGAATGACTTCTATGACTTTAGGAAGTTTGAAAACCACTGTTTTAGTTGTATCAAGTTAACCCTGGTAAGAAGTACCTGGGCTGCTGGAATACACTGGAGAGAAATGACTGGGAATAGTTTAGAAAACAGGATTCTTGGGCTGTTTTTTATTTACAATGTTCACCTAATTTCTATTAATGATCTCAACAAAATTGACAAGACATTACAAATTGTAGCTGGGATCACACAGAAATAGCAAACCTTCAGAATACCAGTAAATAAATTCTTTCAGCTTGCCCCTCTCTCACAAAGTAATCTGAACTGCTGTACAAAGCTTGCATATCTTACTTCCACCCCAAGTGCATTCAGATCTCTGGGCTGTCAGTCAAAAAGTGCAATAGCCAGCCCCCACTAGGTGTCAGGTTGTCTGGAGGTTGCTTGCAGAAGCCTTTTAAAAGAATCCTTCTGCTTACAAGACATAGCAGTAGCATTTTTTCCCTTGTGTTATCTGCTTGCGTACTAAAGAACTGAATCATAGATTTCATAGACATCAGGGCTGGAAGGGACCTCGGAAGATCATCGAGTCCAGCCCCCTGCCCCAGGCACAGGAAGTCAGCAGGGGTCATAAGATCCCAGCAAGATAAACATCCAAATGTCGCTTGAAGGCATTCAAAGTAGGTGCTTGAACCACCTCCAATGGCAGTCTATTCCAAACCTTAGGGGCTTGGACAGTAAAGAAGTTCTTCCTTATGTCCAACCTGAAACAGTCATGGAGGAGTTTGTGACCATTTGATCTTGTAATGCCTTGGGGTGCTCTGGTGAACAGATGTTCCCCCAGATCCTGGTGAGCACCCCTAATAAACTTATAGGTTGCCACCAGATCACCCCTGAGCCTGCACTTTTCCAGGCTGAAGAGTCCCATGGCTCTCAGCCTCTCATCATAAGGACTGTTTTCCTGACCTCTGAGTCTTTAAACCCATGTGACAACTAGGGCTTCATCTGCACTAGGCTCTTGTGGAAAATCTCTCACCATTACAACTGGTAACATCACAGCAGTGGAAGTATCAATAGTGGTACTATACTAGAGAAGACTCAATCAGATAA